AAAAAATTTAGATCGTGAGGGCAATACTTATTTATATATTTGTAATATTAAAAATCTTACATATAATTTTTAAAAGTATAAATATATATTATAGTTATTTTTTACAAGTTTTTAGATCTATAATTACAAATAAGGATGAAAATAAACTAGGTCAGATTATGTTATATTATAATTTAACAGAATTAAACTTAATTTTTATTAAAAATACATGTTATTAATATGATATATTTATCTGTTATAAACATTTTTTAAAATATTTGGTTAGAACTACAATCTTAAAAACTTACTTAATAATAATTTAACACTAATAAAAACATAAAAAATAAATATGTTAAATCTTATAAAAATCAAATTTAATTTATTTATCATATAAAGATATTTTTGATATGTGATATATATTTTTACAATTTTGATTTTTTTATCAACATATACAATAAATAAAAAGTACAAAAGTTTGACAAATATGTGATACATGAATAATTCTTCAAAATTTATATTTTATACATATGATAATTTAAATATATATATATATATATATATATATATATTTATTAGAATAATTTTTAGATAAAAAATTATGTATGTGTAAATGTTTTGTTTTTGATATGTGAATTACATTATGTGTTGGTTGGCATTCTGGAACGGCTCCCTCTGAATTTAGAATGACTTGTTTTGGAAACCAGAACGGCCTGTTCTGATGCACTCGTTGGTGTTAAATAATGCATCTGGAATGGCCGTTCCGGATGCAAAATTTACGCACCATGAGTGCAACCAGAACGGTCCGTTCCGGTTTCAGAACGGGCCATTCTAGTTCCAGATGCCTGAAAAAATTAAGCATCCACGTGACACTCACGTGACCAACAGTTAACTCCGTCCAAATAATTTGGACGGAAGTCCAACATTGCAATAATTTAAATTATTGGAAACCAAATTAAAACAAAAAAATTAAAGTAGAACTAAATTGAAACAAATAAATATTAGAAGGGACTAAATTAGAGTTTTAACACACACACACACACACACACATATATATATATACAGGGGAATGCTAATGTACTCCCACCTATTTTTTAGTGGGAGTATGTTAGCAACCTACACCAATTTTTTAGGACAAAAAAACCACTCATTTATTTTGATTTGGTTCATTCGTACAAAGGATATTATAGTAATTTAATTTAATTTTAAATGAAAATAAAATATTTTTTCTCTCTTATTAATTTCATTCTCTAAATCATTTCTCTCTCTTATTAAATTTTTTCTCCAACTCATTTCTCTTTCTTATTAAATTCTTTCTCTAACTTATTTATCTCTCTCCTATTAAATTCTTTCTTTAACTCATTTCTCTTTCATCTCTCATGATGTCTCCCTTCTCTCTCTCTGAACAAATAAAAATTTATTAATAGAAAAAATAAATGAATTGGAGAATGAAATTAATAAGAGAGAGAAAATATTTTTATTTTCATTTAAAATTAAATTAAATTACTATAATATCCTTTGTACGAATTAACCAAATCAAAATAAATGAGTGGTTTTTTTGTCCTAAAAAATTGGTGTAGGTTGCTAACATACTCCCACTAAAAAATAGGTGGGAGTACATTAGCATTCCCC